AGCAAGCCGAGTGCAAGGCATGCATCTTTAGACGTTGGATATGTCCATCGACTTTACGTATATCTTACAATGAGCCGGTGACATTAACCAACAACAGTTGAAAATAAAAGNAGTCGAAAAAAAAAGCACTCAGTCTGCCTTGGATTGACTGTAAATACTCCCCCCAAGGCGTTTGATTTTAATAAACCGGGACATACATCAACCGGTGTGCCTTGCTTGCGGGGTGTCCATTTTTTTCGTTTGAGCCCATGTGAAATAGTGTGGTACTTCTGAGTAGAGTAATGTCCGTGCAAAGGCATCAAAAGCATCCACACGATTACGCAATTCAAAAAATTCGGTGAGTGTAGTTTTTGGTGGATTTATAGCTCGGTCAATCGCTGCCTCGTTCGTGAAATATACGCACTGACCGTTTTCAAGATGAACGGCTAAATGAATAACGGTTGGATCCCGTTCATGAATTGGGAAACCAAAGATACGCCAAACAGCTTCATTGGAACTGATGTACCAGCCAATTTGGTACAGCGTTATTTCATCGTTGTATTTCACTGGTAGAGCAGTCACGTTGGTATTTTCAACTCAAAATACTGCCATATTACTGCCTTTATTCACATAGTACTTGCAAATATATTTGATGCTCTTCTTTTAAGGGCGAGCATAAGTATTAGACTTTAATATGACTTGTTGCAACGTGCGTGAATATTGTTTTTGAATTATCATGTTTCTATTTCTAGTTTGGATTCGAGTACGATTAAATAAAGATGTATTTAAAATATACGCTAAATTTTGTCCAAAAAATGAAAAAAAATTAGCTATAAACCTATTCTCAGACCTACTGAATATACATATAAAATTTCATCAAAATCGGTCAAGCCGTTTCGAAGGAGTATAAACACTAAACTGTGACAAGAGATTTTTATATATAAGATAAATAAATGCAATTATTCATCCTTCTTTTGAATTGTAAATATTTTTGTAGGAAGGACATAATTTCTTCCTTTAAACTTTTCTTATATTTATTTTAGTTTATATTTTAAAACCGTCGTTGAACAGCCTATCCAATTTTGGGATTACAACTACCAATGTTCAACTCAGTCTTGTATTTTTAAACCCATAAGATAAGGAAACTCCTGGCTCTAGTATTTGGAGAAATTTGCCTTCGTGGAGGACTTTTAGATAGAACTGACCCGCATTTGCGTTACATGGAGAGGAAAACCACAAAAATTTTCCTCGGTTAGCCTTACGGCAAGGGGACTGTTACGTTTTGAAATAAGAATTAAATAAATTTTGAATTATTGAGAAGTAGGTAAAAGCGTTTTCTTATGTCTTCAATAACTTTTAACTTGTACAATAGAACTCTAGTTTATGTTTAGAAATATGAAAAAAAATTTGTTTTTCTTTTAAGAATTTGGTTTAATAAAATATAGCAGTGGAAGAAATAGGGTATATTTCTTGCCGTACTCAACAGGGACTTTAACTCATGATCCGCCTTACCCTGAATATGTTTTACGTCAACACTGTGGTCGGGCGTAACGGGTGTATCGACCAGCCATCGCAGGGATTCGAACCTGGTTCCCCTCATTGGCAGGTGAACGCTCTATCCCCATAACCAAAAGTGCCTTTTTATGTTTATTTTATTTTATTTTATAAAAATTTCATTAAAAAAAATTATACACTGATCAAAAAGTAAAAACAACTCACACTGGAAAACCGTTGATTAAATGAAAAGATATTGCTTCCTACGATACATTCAAAAACGTCTATACACTGATCAAAAAAGTAAAAACCACTCTCAATAGATAGTTTTGTGTAATGATAACTTTTCTATGTACCAATCAAAAACTTACGCTCTATTCATAAATAAAATTTCACCATACTATTTTGACGACAATTCTTAATTAATTTTGGTAATAAGCACCAATCTAAATAGAAAATAAACTATGTATAAATTATTGACTATATTATTGAAGTCAATTATGCTCAATTTTGGTCATAAGAACTAATTGAAATTTTAAAAAAATATGAGCTATGTATTAAAAAACAAAATTAATGAAGAAATACAATTCTGTAAAAAGACATATTTGATACTTCTTAAATTTTGGTAATAGGTACTACTGGCAGTAAGGTAATTGGAGCAGTTTTAATATAGATTCAGAAAGAGGTTTTTTTACGGGCTCTTGAAAAGGGTAAATACTAGAGAATATCGCCTGATTGTGGTAAATTTAGACTATCATGGGCAATATCATCTTGCCAAAGAATACTGAATACAGTTAATCTTTATTTTGATAATATGAAATAGTAAAAACTTATTTTGCTTTCTCTAATAAAGTTAAGATAATAAAGGAACGCGTACAAATTATTTTAATTATTTTAGTTTTATTACCAGTAGTATGTTTTTAAGTTTTGCGCATGATTTCGTAGTGTTGTTCAATACTGCTTAATTGATTATTTGCATTTTTACACTCGTACCAAAAGTGGACTTTCAGTTAGCTTCAATTAATTAAAATAAGGAACTAAGAATATATCTTCAATGCCATGCAATTTTTTTTACAAACTGGAAAAGTTTCTTGAAATGAAGGAAATATTAATTTTTAGGAATAGATTTTATCGAGAATTGATTAGAAAATTGATTTTTTTTTCTATTGGAATAAAGGTTTCTAACCTAAACTACTTTGTTCATTTTTCATTTTCGAAAAATAAGATTTAAATAGATGTAGTTCTGTTACAAGAAATTTGGAGAATTGAGTTTTGTGGTTTCATAATATTGATTACCGTAAAAATGTGCAGTTTTCGTTATATTATAACTCTGCGCAGGAAGCTGTTTGCTAAGTTTTTATTCATTTATTTATTAATTTTAGTAGTTAGAGAAAATTATTTGACGTTTTACTTAAATACTGATTATTCTCAAAAAACTCAAAAACTTCGATTCTCAAAAAACTCAACACTGTATCTTAAAATGATATGAATAATTTTCATGCATAAAAAATACAATAATTTAAATAATTTATTAAATAAAAACAATTTTGAAACTACAAACTGAAAACATAAGGTGAGCATTCTTACTTTGAAGAAAAAAATATAAAATGCTTACTACAGGCAACGCAAATATAAATAGATTCAAATTTCTCCTCTTTCTTTTTTTCCGTTAATCCACTGGCACATACAACAACCGCTACAAAATAAAAACCGAAAATTGAAAACACTTTCATTTTAAGAGTTGTGTTAGTTAATCTTGTAAGTAACTTTAACCAAATTGAAATTCAGGTCTATGCCTATGTGAAGTCTTTATCTGAGTTTTGGCCCCGTTAGGTTTCCCAACTGATTCAACTCTGTGGGAGTTTGGTACAAAAGCCGAAGCTCATAAAAAATAGGGTATGTAAACTGATAAGCAAGCAGGTGGGTTATGTCAATAAAAGAGAAAAAATGAGAAAATGAAGTAATCTTCGATGAATCTAATGAATCTTAGATGAGAAGTAATCTTAGCACATGTTTGCCTCGCTTCCCCCCTTGCGGGCTTTGCAGGTGCACATGCAGAAACCTTGATTAAAGGATTTGAGAGAAGTCATATATACAATAACTAGTTAAATCTTTTAGATAGAACTGCGTCTGATAAATAAAAAACCGTTGCGGGCTGTATAAATTACTTTCGCTTATAGGTTCGAAATCGAAAATTTGGTTGTAATTGCACGTAGTACAATTACGGGCGTCACTAAAGAAGGAAACAGAGAGAGTTTAGCGGTGCGCTCCTCGTAAGAGTCAATATTTAAATCTTTTCGAATGTCGCTCATTCAGAGCCAGATACCTCCCGTAATTCTCCTTATAATTTTGTTTTGTATAGTCTCAAGTTTTCGCTTCTGAGTGATAGTAAGGGCATTCCAGGCCAGGGCAGCGTAGCTTAAGATCGGCCTAATGCACTGCAGAAAAAGCGTTCTTTTGGTCCTCAGAGCTAGTTTTGAGGTGTGATTTAAAATGAGTTTCAGTGAGCAGTACGCCCCCTTGGGATTGGAAGAGGTTTTGGAAATATGGGCGTTCCATTTCATGTTGTGCGTCGGCGTTAGCACAAGATAAGTAGCCTTATTTACTATGGGATTGACTCATTGAAAAGGAGAATGTTAAAATCCAGGTTTTAACATTCTCCTTTTCAATGAGAGAAAATTCTACTTAATTTTATAAGTAAACGTAGCTCTTAACTTTTTGACCTCAATTTCACCTTTTAAAACTAAAAAAAAGAAAATAAATAAAATATCAGGGTTTAATATATGTCTCACCAAAACTTCAGCTGTCAAGATAAGGGTAATTGCTTTGAGGTGTGTTACGCCCGTATTCTCCATTGAACCTAACCCTCAGTCACAGTTCAAAACAGGTTTTATGAGAGCAACTTCAGGTTAGATTCCGAAATTTCATTTCACCGTTGCATGTAATTGGGTTACCATATTTCGTTATTTATCTTTACTTTTGGTTCATATTTTATCTTATCATATGATTCTACACTGGTGTGCAAAACTTAAGCAACAAGTGCGTTTTTTGTCATAACTCTACAAGAATAATTTATATTTCGTTATTAA